TATTTATATATCAAATTTGTCACCACCCATCTCGTTGAACAACTCTGGGCAGTTTACAAAACAGCTAAAATCAATTAAAATGACAAAATTACAAATAAAACTACAAAATTACAATAATAGAAAATATTTATTAACAAATTCATAATTTGTTAATAAGTAGATGTCTGTAATTGAAAAGGCCCATCCCAGATTCCAGGACCAAATTCTCTTTTCTCTCAGACTTGAAGAGTTGGTGATGGTCAGAGTGGATGTTACTTGTGTCATGAGCCTCATTCAATATACAGTCGTTTATCAAACTTCACCTTCACTATTGTTTACAGTGATATTTGATACAGAGAAGTGAGAAAGGCTGCCAGGAGGCTCAGAAAGCTGGTGAAAGAGGAAAATAATCAAATTACTGATGGCAGGGAAGAAAGAGGGGCATGTATTATTCAATTGTTTCTTACCTTCCCAAATGTTCTGTCTCAGGACTGACCAAGTACATCAGGTTTCTGAGAGTATGTAGAGGGTGCAGAAGATCTAGGTTGACGTGCTGGAAAAGCACAAGAAGGAAAGCAGAATACTCATCAGGCAGGCCTTGAAAGATGAGGAGGAAACAATGTAAAGCCTTCCAAGAAGGAAAAAGAAACCAAATAAAAACTACCTGAGAAAAGCAAAGGTAAAGGATATTGGCATTTAGCTTTTTCACTGCCCAGGTGAATTTCCTCCTGCTGAGATTTTCTCCACAGAATTCACTGTAAAATATATTAAGACGCAAATATTAAGGCACTAAAATCTTAAATAAGGACTCAGAGCAAATAGACAAACATGTTTAGGTCACTCTGACTTTGCAAAATGGATTTGCTGGAACAGCTAGCATAAAAAGAACAAGGCTCATCTAGTTCTACTTTCCATTTTGGAAAGGAGGTAACTTTATAGAATTGTGCCCTCCCTCCCTCCCTCCTTCCTCACTGATTCCATATCCATTCACACTGGTTTACAAGACTGAACATATTAAAATCAGTAACACTATTTCAGATAAACAACCCTGATATCTATATTAAGTATTTATGTAATTTAACTTTTGCAGAGGCTTAGGAAGCTTCCCATTTGGGGTGTATGTGTGTGTGTGTTAAATGAAACTTATTGCCCCATCCCCTCCAAATCTATAAATGCCAGGAATGTTGCAGAATGGGTGGTCAGTTTAAAAAAAAAAGTCACAAAAGTGTTTGCTTCCCATCAGCTCTAAAGTTCTATTACCATCTCAGAATCCACTCACAAACTTGGCTGTCTGTCAACCTACAATTATTAGTATTTCTGTAAAATCTACTTAGAACTCAAAATTTGGTGTACATACATATAACATGCTATATTGTAATGGGTTCCAATTCCTAGGGGCCTGTCATTCAACATAATGTTCTCAATTACCTTTTTGGCATGCATTCTAGCTCCTTCTAGATTCCTTACCTGTTGTATAGCTTTTTGGGAAGGTTTACATCCAGTATAAGTGACAAAATGTTAGTCAGCTGAGTTGCATAGCACAGAGCAGCACTGATGGTATAAGCAGGATTGTTATGCTCCATGTCTAGAACAGAAGCAAGGAAAAAATCAGAAAGTTTTCATGGACTCACCAGAAAAGGCAAAGACCAAAGATTTACAACATGGTACCCATGGAGAACAAAGTACCCACAACAACTAAAGATGCTGTTTGTGGAATCTCAAATTTAAACACAGAAGTATTTTTCAAAAATTAAATTTGTAAAATCTCACAAGATCACCAAGTATTACTAAAGTTCAGTGTTCTTGCATGAGTTTTACTTCATAAGTTTTATTTTTGGGCACCAGGGTTGCCAAACCATTGAGATCAGCCTATCTTTTACTTCTGAGATTTTGTATGTAATGCCATGTAATGAACAACCATCTTCTCAGCTATGAGAGCTAAAAATGTGTTCTTGGAAAACTCTCTAGCCAGTATCATGTTCTTCAATTCTTAGGCTCCCCATGAAAATCATGGCTCAGTCAGAAGGCAGTTTATGGTATCCTGTGCTTTTCTTATGCCAAATATCTAGGTGAGATCATGGAATTTGCATCTCAATACTGTTAAAAAAAACTGATGAAGAGGCTGGCTTCCAGCAGACTCAAAAAAGTTTAAATCACACCTAGCACTTTACCTGGTCCTTGTGTGGTTTTCTTCTCTTCTACCCAATTGTAATATGCAGAATAATCCCCATTGTTGGGAAGGGTTATCCAAGGGCCTGTGATGCCAATGCTGGTGTCTCCATTATGGTCATCACACACCCATCGCCCAGAAAGGTAGGTGGTCCTCCTGGCTTCTGCAAGCTTGCTCACTGTGCTAGACGTCATGGCATTCTCACTCTCGGAAGATACATCTGTGGGGTCCCTAGAGGAAAGGCAAGGAAGTGTTACTAATAGGATTGCGCAGCACTTCAGATTTTATTCCAAAAAGGTTTCAGAGTGTGCATGTCAGGAAAAGGCATGGCTGCTTTAAAAAGTTACAGACAGGTGCTACGTTTGCAGCACTGTGTCATCCATGCAGTGAAGGAAAAACACCAACCTCCTTGGGAGTAAGCCTTATTATTAAGAAATGAATACTTTCAGACTTGGTGCCTGATGAGCTTAAAGGTAAGGAAGGCTTCTGAGAAGGGAGGAAACAGAAGGACTAAGGAGAGAGCAAGCAAGCTGATACAGAGCAAGCAAAAGTGGAAGAAACGGCTGCTAGACCTCTATTCAGGCCTGTGAATTTCCCCAACTCTTCAAAGAGGCCTGACAGTGAAACAACTCCCCTGATGAAGAACTGAGCTGAGCTTTTCCCTCCAGCAAAAATGCCAGATGGGAAGCAAAACAGTTGGTTCTTGTAAAGGAAAAGGACTGCCCAAACTTCCTCCGCTGAGGCTGAGATTCCAAACATGCATGCTGGGGAAAGAAAGACCAAAGGACATAAACTGCTACTATCAAGACAGCTTATTTCTCTTGTTGAACATTTAATCTGATGACAAACTGAAGCTTCAAGGGAAAGTGTATGTATTTTAAAGCCCTCTCCTTGAGAGTTGAAAGAGAAAATGTGAATAATCTATCTTCCTACTTCCATTTGCCTCCTGATACTTCCAACTGCTTGTTTGCTCCCCATCTCTCTGTATAAAGGGGCCACTGGTACACTCCAGAGCACATGCTTGCAATTGTATTTAAAGTACTTCAAGCACTTTAATCATTAAATGGCCCAATACTATGAAACATAGGAAAGTGCCAGATAAGCACCTTAGTGGAACAGAAATAGGAAAACTCATGGTACTGGAAACTCCCTGACTGAATCCTAAGAGTCCTTTTTCTGAGCTACTGCATGCGGGAGCAAAATTATGCCTTTTTATTTAAGTCTGGTAAGAAGTTATGGATGTCTCCACAAATAATACATTTTAGGAAACCTCTATTCCAGGATGGGGGACAGCTATTGTAATTCCCATTATAGTAGAAAAGGGAAAGTTCAGAGGCTACATCAAATAAGAATAAAAGGAAGTTAACAGAATCATTATAAATTACAAGGAAAGACTATGAGTTGACATTAGAAAAGAAGTGGATTAAGCAACTTGTTCAGCTTTCAGAAATAAAAGTGAAAATGTCAGAGGCAGCAGGAGAAGAATCAAGAAGAACTGGAACGAGGACTGAAAAGAGAGTTTATTCCTTCAAAGTATCTCTCATCATTACTGCTGCTCCTGGAGAAGAACAGGGAGCAAAACCTGCTTAGAGTATACCCAAGAACTTTCAACACCAGGTTGAGGAGCTCCAGTCTATGCAACCCATTTCAAGCAAAGGTCCCTCTTCATTTGACCTATACTTAAGGAAGGAGGAAGGTCTTTCTACTGAAAAAGGAGCTAAATAAATAGGGTGCTATCTACTATGTGACAGGCAGGTGTTGGCCTTTGCAGACAAACACTTCTGAAACTCCCTTAATTATGTCCTTTCTACGCAGACTTGATGGCTGGGGTTATTGATTCACAATCTTGTATATTTGTTGTTGATATGCTCCAGTACTCCAGTTCTGCCACAATTTATACTTCAGCTATCCAAGGGCTCAGTTGATTCATTGCCAAACATTAATAAGGTGTTTGCTAAAACATTAAGATTAATTAATTAATATTAATAATTGCAGTTAAAAAAGGGCTTTTGCACAACTTCGGGTTGTATACCAGTTACGCCCTTTCCTGGATTGGGATGCCCTTGGATAGCTGAAGTATAAATTGTGGCAGAACTGGAGTATGGAGTAAGTCATGCCCTTATCTCCCAGATAGACTACTGTAATGTGCTCTACATGGGGCTACCCTTGAAGAGTATCTGGAAGCTTTAGCTGGTCCAGAATGCAACCGCGCAAGCTATTTTTGGGGCGTGAAGAAGGACCCATATAACACCACTGCTTCGTGAGCTGCACTGGGTACCAGTTTGCTTCCAGGTCCAATTCAAGGTGTTGGTTATCACCTTTAAAGCCCTACATGGCATGGGGCCAGGTTACCTGAGGGACTGCCTCTCCCCCACGAGTTCATCCTGTCCCACCTGATCACACAGAGAGGGCATGCTCCGGACCCCTTCGGCAAAAGAACTCCAACTAGCGGGGACCAGAAGACAGGCCTTCTCTGCTGTAACCCTCGCCGTTTGGAATATCTTGACCCTGGAGGTGAGATTGGCCCCCTCACTCCAGGCCTTTTGGAGGGATCTGAAGACCTGGCTCTGGCATCTGGCCTGGGGTGAGGAAGGGGATCATCAAGTGTGGGGTTGGCTAGTCCCTTAGTGGCCTGGTGTTGCTGCCTTGAACCATCGGCCTCCTGGATTTTTTCCCTTTTATTTTTGTAAATGTGTATTGTTATAGGTGGTGAGGAAGGGGATCATCAAGTGTGGGGTTGGCTAGTCCCTTAGTGGCCTGGTGTTGCTGCCTTGAACCATCGGCCTCCTGGATTTTTTCCCTTTTATTTTTGTAAATGTGTATTGTTATAGGTTTTAATTGTATATTTATTTATTGTTTTAAAGTGTTGTGAGCCGCCCAGAGTCCCCCATTGGGGGGAGATGGGCGGGGGACAAATTTAATAAATAAATAAATCAAGCAAGCAAGCAAGCAAGCA